CCTTTAACGGGATACCCTTAACCAAGGAGGGACAGGCGGAGGCTACAGCCTCCCCTCCAGCCAAGGCTAAGGCTTACCCAATGCCTAACCTCACAAATTTGTGACCATTGCTGTGAGATAGGCCAAAACCAAATGGTCATTTGTTCGGCCCTGAATACGGTAGCTGCCAGTGTCCAAGGTCTTAGCATGGAAGAAAAGCATATGAAAAAGGGGAAGGGGGATCCAACAGAAAAACTGAGGAGGAATGCTGGGATCATCTCAACTTATTCCCCAGGGGGCGGAGCCTGAAGTGAAGGACATGAGACAGGAGTTGGTAATGCAGGGGAGCTTTGCACAAGCAAGCTGCCAGCTAGCTCTGCCGAGGCTCTTTTTATTAGCACAATATGCAAAACCAGTTGGCTACATTTTGGACTGTGCCCTTTACGCATCTTCCAATCACGAGATCGTGGGGTGGCGCAAAGTTATTTTGGCACCTGTTTCCACCACGTCATTTCCCCCTTGAACGATGTATAACGAAGGAGACAAAGGTCACAGACAGGGCACGGCAGACCACTAAGAGAGCAAAAGGTTAGATGGAGGGCATGATGTTCAGACAGCTGTGGCTTGTCTGCGGGTGGAAGTGTGCTCCACACCCAGTGGTCATTCCTTCAGGACCCAAACAAGGCCTATTGGCTGGTTAGGCCCACCCCCTGGGTAATCCCTGGACCCAGGCCTGCCAGACAAAGGCCAATCTGCAGACAGGCCTGCAGTCCTCTCTAGCTGGCTGCCGGACCGCCAAGGCCCGTAGCCAGGTCACAATGCCGCCTCACCATTTAAGGTAAGGGGACTTTTAACAAAAGTCTGTTATGTTACACCAGGTTAAAGATCTCAATATATAAAATATAAGCAGCTTTGATCTTCAAAGTAATTTGCTAACATTCTGGTTCTGCAGAAGGAGATGGTAATAAAATTTTATATTATGTGGGGAGGGGAGATGAGGGCAGAGCAAGTTAGTGAGGAGATTTCACCCCTCCCATATCCAAGAATCTCCTGAGGAGTCTGCTGATTCTCCAGAGAGGAGGAGGCGTGTTCTGCTCTCTGCTTATTCTGCTCCAGCACCAGAGTCAGTCAGTCAGTCAGTGTCGGAGAGAGAGAGAGAGACTGAGTGTTAGAGATCGTGTGTAGAGATAAGGTTGCTGTTAAGAGCAGCTGCAGACACTCAGTGCAGTGTAGCATTCATTTATGCTTAGACCTATTTAGCTCTGTATATAGTTGTATAATAGTTGTAGGTAGAAATAAATAAGATATTCTACAGAGCTGCTCTCCGAGTTGTTTATATACTCTGCTAGAGTCTGCTGTACTCTGCTGTGCGACGACTGTCTTCTTGTGGGAGTGAATCCGGTGCTCACAACTCTAAGCTGTGAGTCCACAGCACTTTGACCTGTTCCTGTGCAGAAGGTGGTCTCTGGAAGTGCTACCCAGCTCGCCTAGCCCAGTTGGGGCTGAAGTGGATGAGTCCAGTTGGTGGCACTGGCTCAAGGGCGGTGCTCACAGTCAGAGGGTGAGGAAAGTGGCCAAGCAGAGGCAGCAAAAGTACATCTTTGCTTTTCCTTGCTGGTGCTCCTGCTTCATGCTAGCAATTTAAAATGCTAACATATCACTGCAATATAGCTTTTGGTACCTCGGGTTAAGTACTTAATTCGTTCTGGAGGTCCGTTCTTAACCTGAAACTGTTCTTAACCTGAAGCACCACTTTAGCTAATGGGGCCTCCCACTGCCGCGCCTCTGGCACACGATTTCTGTTCTCATCCTGAAGCAAATTTCTTAACCCGAGGTACTATTTCTGGGTTAGCGGAGTCTGTAACCTGAAGTGTATGTAACCTGAAGTGTATGTAACCCGAGGTACCGCTGTATTTCTAATTAAAAGCAAAAGGCTGGTTTGGGATCAGGGAAGCCAGGTATCCCCAGACTAAGTCCATCATGCTAACCAATGACCGCTATCTCAACCTTTGCCAGCTCACTATTCTGTGACTTCAGGAGCAGACCTTGGTGTCTCTCAAGGTCTTAATCCAACCCTGCAAATAGATCTGAGGTAGAAGTGGGGATTGGCGAAATGGTTGCTGATGTCACAAAGGTGTTTGCTTCCCAAACCAGAGGGGAGCCAAGATATTCCTCTGCATGGTTTTCCTTGATGGTAAGTTGAATGCTCTCCCATGTGAAAGTTGCAGGTTCCTCAAACGCAGTGTATATAACTTTCTGCTCTCGCCCTCTCTGTTGCCTAACGATTTCTCTCTCTCTCTCTCTCTCTCTCTCTTTCTCCTTTTATGCATCCTTGCAAAAGGCTTCAGGAGGAAAAGTCAGGCAGACTTGTAGGCCCTTCAGAGACGATTATCAAAAGCCTGTCCCAGGCTCACACCAAGAAGCTAAAGCTGGACACTTCTAGTCTTGGTGATGGAAGTGAAAGCCTTTAAAAAAAAAAAAATTATTAACAATTTCAACATAATATATCAAAACATATCATATTCATTATTTCCCCCCTTTTTCCCCATTCCCCATCAAACCCTCCCCCCTCCCCCCCCAAGACTTCCCTCAGTTCCTCTCTCTGATTTCTCAGCACATGTTATTCTCGGCATATTATAAAATTATTTCAATCCTTATATTATTTATTTACCATGTTATCGATCACTAGATTTGTATATGTTTATTTAAAACCTGCCAAGGAGTCCAATTCATTTTGTTGTCTTTTTAAATACAGTGGTACCTCAGGTTACAGACGCTTCAGGTTACAGACGCTTCAGGTTACACACTCTACTAACCAGGAAGTGGTTGCTCCAGGTTAAGAACTTTGCTCCAGGATAAGAAAGGAAATTGTGTGCCAGCGGCGCGGCAGCAGCGGGAGGCCCAATTAGCTAAAGTGGTACCTCAGGTTAAGAACCGTTTCAGGTTAAGAATGGACCTTCAGAACGAATTAAGTTCTTAACCCGAGGTACTACCACAGTACTTTGTAAAAAGTTCCCATTCTTCTTTGAAGTCACCATTGTCTTTATCTAGGAAGTGAAAGGCTTATAGGATGTTGAGCTTGATTCAAGTAAATCAGGTGTTTTGTCTGTCTGTCAAATGGAAGTTTTAACTGCCAATACCATTGGGCTAAAAATATATTATTCTAGCAGCTCTTGCTCTGTCTCTCTCTCAAAGTCACAGACACACACACGTGTTGCAAAGCATAGCAAAGCTTTTCTTAGGTCACGTTCCAACCAAAAGGTCTATTTGTAGGAGGAAATGTGAAACCATAGCATTCCTTTACTTAAAAGTTAAAGTTGGTTCTTGGAGCGTTAGAATGCCCAAAGAGCATGTATCATTTTAATTATAGTTCTCCCAGGTAACTAGATCAATTTGTTTCTTTTTGTGTAGCAGAAACACTGGTGGTGGTTGTTAACATTGATTTAATATGTAACCTGAAAGCCAGCTCATCTGTTGCAGATCATCTAATTCCCTGGACATGGGTTGCTGTGAAATAAATCATGGTTTTAATTTACCAAAGTCGCTTGCTTCATGTTTGTCTCTTCTATGTGTTATGATCCACAGGAAGGTGTCACCAAAAATGTCCTCCCTGCGGTGAGATGAGCAGTTAAGTCTCTACAAAATCCCTAGCTATGCTCGCCATAATCATGTTGTGATCAGTCTCCACCCCCTTCAGCAGCAGCCAATGGCATGGAGCAGGCTGGGGACACTGGGAGAATGGGGCTGACAGAGTTTAGTGGACTCGATCTCCCATCATTCCTGACTGCTGACCATGCTGCCTGGGGCTGATGGGACTTGAGGTCCACCAACATCTGGAGCGGCCATATTGGCTACCCTTGGTCCATGGCATAAGGATGAGCTTATGCATCCAGTTTATCAAACAGAGGGCAATGCAAAATTACTCCTGCTGTGGTCGTAGCACACAATACTTCTTTTTGGCCCGATGGACATGTAACGCTCAAGCCACATCAGCCACAGAAAATGGCAGCGGCACATCTAGCTTAGCCTTCCACCTTGGTATCATCTAGTTGTATTTTCAAATTTTATTTATCTATTAAATTTGCAATACCGTAGATCACAGGCCGGTTCACAGGTGTATGCTATGACATTGTGGTCTTCCTGAGTCTCATCAGCTCACAATATTGGCTGCTATTGCTCTGGACAATGCAACAAGGAGCATCACTGCATAGCAACGCCAGAAAGTACTGCCATTTTTTAGGTGCATTGAGGGGACTGAATGATTGGCAGTGGTTTTACATGCCGAGACACAACATGGGCATCATGTTCATTTTGTATTTGAGCTTCCAAACTCCCTATCACAGTGGTTCCTAATTAACTAAGTATGGTGGACCCCCTGTTTTTTCAAAAGCCAAGCCATGGACCCTCTACTTTTGAAGTTTTTGATATTTCTATGCAGTGCCAGATTTACGTATAAGCTAAACAAGCTTATAGCTTAGGGGCCCCCAAAAAATTAATGGAAAAAAACCTGGATGTACATTTCCAAAATATAAGATAAAAAACAAATAAAATAAAACCTACATACAGCAACAGTGTTTTGTGTTGTGCAATCTCCTATGATGAAAGTAACCGACCCTACCTGCTAGCCTGCTCCCTAAAATATCACTGGTTTGCTCATTTCTATATATAGGGTGCCTACGTTCTGCATGGACTTTGCATTCTGCATGGACTTTTCAACAATTACTTTGATAAAATACATATTTTGTTATGTGCAAATGGCTTTAGATACCTATTAGGTCCATAAATTACCATATAGTATATATTCAACACACAAAAACAGCGACAAATTGTTGTTGACAAAGGACAGCTGGACATATAAAGGACCCCACTACCTTCAGTAGCTAAGGACCTCATCAAACCTAAATCCGGCCCTGTTTCTATGGTGGCTTTGTTATGTGAATGGTCCACAGAACCCCTGGGTGGGTTACGCGGAGGCCCAGGGGGTCCATGGACCACCAATTGGGAACCACTCACCTACCATATGGAGATCCCAGGGATTGTATCTGGGACCCTCTGCATGCCAAGCAGTTGTCCTACCCCTGAGATACAGATCTCCGCAAAGAGCCTACTGCAATGCGGAAACACTGTACAGAATAGGGAAGATAGAAATGGAAAACTCATACCATGCAATGGTCATGCAGGGTAAGTGGTCAATCAGATGTGTGCCTAACGTTTCCCACATGCTGAGCATAATGTACACCAGCCTCTCGTGTTTGTGCTTCCTCTCTCCAGCTCACTCACTTTCCTTTGTTCCTGACGAAGATCCTTTCCTGGCCTTTATCAGCCCAGGAGGGGCTTTTTGAAGGAAAAAAACCATGAGATTCCTTTCTTTTTGTCATCTAAAGGAAGCCGATCCCGCTCAGCTGCCGCTCTGGCGAACGATAAAGCGACTTGTGTGTAATGAGTTAATTGTTTCCTTGAAACATCAAATTGTCTCTGTTTAATTGTTATACAATAATCCTGCTGCTTTTGATGCTCTGTTAATTTAAGCTTCTGCAAGCAACGCTCCTCCTATCCATCTGCCGCAACTCATTTAGGTGGACTAATCTCGCCGCAGCTTTGTCACCCCGCTCCCGCTAAAGCTTTCGATTGGCATTTTAAAAGCAGTCAATGCAGGTTAATAAAATCCCGTCAACTGATCATTAAGGCACCAAGGCAGGTCTTAAGCAATTCAACTTCCCATGGATCTCAGGTAAAGGGGATTCAAATGTTTGATACCAGCATACACAGGCTACACTTTAAATGGCAGGGCTAACATAAGAACCAAAGAAGAGACCTGCTGGATCAGGCCAACTGCCCATCTCGCCCAGCAACCTGTCCTCATAGTGGGTGGCACTGTGGCCTAAACACTGAGCCTCTTGGACTTGCTGATCAGAAGTTTGGTGGTTCAAATCCGTGCAACGAGGTGAGCTCCCGTTGCTCTGTCCCAGCTCCTGCCAACCTAGCAGTTCGAAAGCACACCAGTGCAAGTAGATAAATAGGTGCCACTGTGGCAGGGAGGTAAATGGTGTTTCCGTGTGCTCTGGCTTCTGTCATGGTGTCCTGTTGTGCCAGAAGCAGTTTAGTCATGCTGGCCACATGACCCGGAAAGCTGTCTGTGGACAAACGCCAGCTCCCTCGGCCTGAAAAGCAAGATGAGTACTGCACCCTTTGACTAGGCCAGGGGTCAGCAACCTTTTTCAGCTGTGGACCGGTCCACCGTCCCTCAGCCCATGTGGTGGGCCAGATTATATTTTGGGGGGGGGATTGAATGAAATCCTATGCCCCACAAATAACCCAGAGATGCATTTTAAATAAAAGGACACCTTCTACTCATGTAAAAACACACTGATTCCCAGACTGTCCGCAGGCCGGATTTAGAAGGCGATTGGGCCAGATCCGGCCCACGGGCCTTAGGTTGCCTACCCCTGGACTAGGCTGAGAACCTGAGTGCAACAGCACTCTTCTCTCCGGTGGCTCCCAGCAACAGATCTTCAGAAGCATCTTATGCACAGTGCTTCGTTTCTGTATACCGGTAGGTCATCATCACCATCACATGCATATAGTGCTTCAGAGGACAGGTGAGGGACTCCAGGGCCTCTCTGTTATTTATTTCTCTGTTTCTTTATTTTATTGATGTACACACCACATTTCACAATGAGGTGATTTGCAAGCATACCATAAAAACAATTTTTTAAAAACACAACTGAAGATAGGTGTTTATTTTGGATTGTTTAAAACCTAATGCAGAAAACTTCACCCAACTGGAAAATCCTTATATATCTCAACAGGGCAGCTGTTCCAGAAAACATGGGCAGCTACACTGGATGTCCAGCATCTGATATTTGGCTCTCTGACCCTCAAAACTCTGCTCAGACCAAACACCCTTATTATGGACAAACCACCCAATCCTGGAGTGACCAGCCAAATAATATCACACCAGTGGTGGAAAAAGAAAAAGTTTATTCAGGCTGCAGTAAGACGATGCAAGGGAATCAAGATCCAAAACCTGCACAAAGGTTAGACAGCAGATCTCAAAAATTTATACACTTCATTGGTTAGACTTTACTATGATTCTATTGGCAATCATTGTTTAGCAAACCCTTTGGCGACCTGCTATTTCCCCCTGCCTTTCTTATTTTGCAAAGCCTGCCGTTACCGCTTGGTAACCAGGATAAGGGGATGACGGCATGTCTGGGGGGCGGGGTTTCTATCTTACTTTGCTGGCAATTTGCTGGTCAGTACAATCTTTAGGGAAGTGGGATGCAGGTAAAAAAGGACAAGGTCTAAAATTGTCACAAAATAGGGGATAGAAGGTTAGCAGGCTTCAGTGACCACTGCAATGCAGTGTACATGGGAGAGGAGTCAGGAGGGTTAAACAGTGACAGAAAGGTCTAGCGTTTACGCTAGTCCCCATTCGAGCTGGGTTAAAAGGTTACTGGAGAGACCAAAGTTATGCTTTGCTAGCTTCTAGTTAATTCCTAGTATATGAGACAAAAGCTAAAGTCTGCTGTATGGAGCAAGATGCCTGGTGTATGAGACAAAATGGAGCCTCTTTGGTTTTCCTTAATACATGTTCCCATCGCCCCCATTGCCCCCTCCTTCAAGCTCTCAAATGCTTTTGGCTTTCTGGAATATGAGAAAACAACTTATGCTTGCCCAGACAGAGAGAAGGTTACATACGCTTCAGGTTACAGACTCCGCTAACCCAGAAATAGTGCTGTCAGGTTAAGAACTTTGCTTCAGGATGAGAACAGAAATCGTGCTCTGGTGGCGCGGCAGCAGCAGGAGGCCCCATTAGCTAAAGTGGTGCTTCAAATAAAGAACAGTTTCAGGTTAAGTACGCACCTCCGGAACGAATTAAGTACTTAACCCAAGGTACCACTGTATGTGTGTAGCGGGAGAAGAGGTGTCTAGAAACCTCTGCCTTTGCCTGGCTGCAATCTATTGCACAAGTCACATCTGTTGCCTCTGGCCACTTTTGCCTCTGGCTTGGCCCATCACCTACATGTTCCCCATGAAAGAATTTGGCCCTCAGGCAGAGGAGATGTTTTCCCACACCTGCTTTTGAGTGTTTGAAGCGTATTGCCTTAGCGCTGCCCTAGGATGTTGGATTATAAGGATTCTTATAATTACAATTGTATTCTTGCTAGTCCAAACTGCATACAACCAAAAGTGAGGGGGAAATGCTATTTGTATTTAATTTTCAAAGGCAGAGATCTACTGATCGTTCCTCCCCCATCCCTCACTTTAAAAAGAAAAGAAATTACGCCGCTTGTGCTGAGTTGGCCCCCAATGGAATCACGCTCACACAACATTGTGCGATTGCTGCATCAAAATGATGACATTAATATACGCCATTTCTAGCTCATTTAATTGCTTATGGCTCCTGGAATATGTTTTGCTGTTGTTCAGAGCAAGGTGTCATTTTCATTCTTGCTCCCCACTGACCTATATGTTCAGCTGTCATCCGTGATAATAGGCCATTTGGTTACAGACTTTTGACTGCTGAATAATTTACTTGAGTTGCAATGCTTTCCAAAGCATTGCCTATTTCACGACTGAAAGGCAAATGTCACATTGTGTACAGGTTTCCGGTTGCACGTTCCCTGGTTTCTCTTCTCCCCTCCCCCCCAAGAATTTTGCTTGGGTGGGTTATCAATTTCCTGCAAGAGCTCATCTGTTCTACACTATATTACACCAAGTTAGGTGGTGAAATTCTGGACCAGACCATTTCAGGACTCAGGAGGGAAGGTCAGCTCCTTGAACGTTCCTCTATGTCAAAAGCTTCCTGCAGGTAGTAAACCAGTGAGAGGCTTGTGTTCAACATTTCTCCCTGATTTGCTGGTTTACCACATCTGTCTGTGGGGAAACATTCAAAAAATGAGACGTCCCCATTTGCACGTGGGTCTGTCCAGAGTTCCACCACCTCAACTCAGGCATCACATTGTGTATCAAGCAAGGCCTTCAAAGAAGCTATTGCTGTTCAGGATTCTGGCCAGTCATGACCTATTCCAAGATGCCCCAATTGAAAGAAGAGTCTCGTGTGGGATCCGACCAAAGCCCACCTAGGCCAGCATCCTGTTTTCACATTGACCAACCAGATGCCACTTTTGGAATAGCTGATCAACTAAATAGATTGAAAGCCTAACACAATCTCAGCTCAGTAGCACATAACCTTTTAAATTTTGGGAAACAAACTCTCACCGGCCAAGTGCTTGAGGCTTCAAGATACTGAGCTGGATCCTGTTTCCACTGGTATTATTGTATGGTATTACTCTCAAAAAGACGTTATGATCCATCAAACCTTAGAAATACAGTGGTACCTCGGGTTACAGATGCTTCAGGTTACAGACGCTTCAGGTTACAGACTCCGCTAACCCAGAAATAGTACCTCAGGTTAAGAACTTTGCTTCAGGATGAGAACAGAAATCGCACGGTGGTGGCATGGCGGCAGTGGGAGGCCCCATTAGCTAAAGTGGTGCTTGAGGTTAAGAACAGTTTCAGATTAAGAACGGACCTCCAGAACAAATTAAGTTCTTAACCCGAGGTACCACTATACAACTTTTCTTAAAGGTTTCCACAATGTTGGCCACTGGTGTAACTACACATCTAGTTTGGCCTCCAGATGTAGGATGCATCCAAATTACAGCTCCTGCATTTCTTAAATTATGGGGGAAGAGGAACCTCAATGAAATCTGCAAGCCCGAGCCCTGAATCCCATAGCCTTCTAAAAATTAAAGTGTTGCGCATTAACTGTAAGCTATTGGCCCCTGTAATTTAAGGATTGGATCCCTGTGTTCTCAGTGGCTGTGTACACACACCAAACATTTAGAAGACCTTTAAAGCTTAAGACTTTCCTCAATGGCACACAATCACCATCCTGGGAGTGGTAGTTTACCCCCTCACAGAGCAAAAAGTCCCAGCGCCCTTTAAGCAACTACAGTTCCCATGATTCTTTGGGGAAAGTCATGTGCTTTAAATGTATGGTGCCTGCACAGCCAGTATCCCTTGAAAGAATTATTACCATGGGTAGGCAAACTAAGGTCCAGGGGACAGATCCGGCCCAATCGCCTT